CCAAGAAGCCAGCGGTCCCGGGGCGGGAGGGGGGGGGAGAGGGAGGGAGGGCGCCACGGCTGGGGCTCTGGACCTCCTCTGGATCTGGCCACCCCTTGATTTTCCCAAGGGGAGAGGGCTGCCTCTGGGGCAGGGGGGCCGGGGGGGGCAGAGTCACCAGGAGATGACCGGGGCATGTTTCTCACGACAACCACCACGTTCCTGCGAGGCAGGCCAGGCCCCCAAAGGGAGGACTCAAGGCCCTCCCAGGTCACGCTCCCCCCTGGACTCTGAATGCCCATGGCTGAGGGGTGCCAAAGGGGGGGGGGGAAGGCATATGGGGCCGGCTCCAGCGCCTTCCACCCACCCCCAGGATGGGAGCTGTTGCAGGGAAGGGGGGACCCACCTCGAGACCCAGCACCCCCCTCCCTCCGTGGCACCCCGCCACCCACCCCACGCCCAGCAGGGGCCACGCTCCGCCGCTCCTCTCCCTTCCTTTGCCTCCCAGGAAATAGGGGTGATTTGTCACCGGCTCGACCAAGGGAATTTTAATCAAGGGGGGTGGGCCAGCGCGGGGCCAGGCCGCCTCCCCGGCCCATAAAGCTGCCGTCCCTCCGCCCTGCCAATAACAAACGGCCTGCTCAGAAATTCAGATGTGATGAGGCGGCCGGGCCTCGCCTGAGCGGAGGAGCGGCTCCTCTGCGCTCGGATATTTCATCATCATCGGCTTTCAGCAGCCTCATCATCGCGTTTTATGGCCTCTGCCGCCGCCGGCGCCAGCAGCAGCAGCAGCATTTGGAGCGAGGGGGGGGAGAGAGAGAGTTTAATGGGTGCCCCAGAAAACGCTTTTACAGGTACCTTGTCAAAATGTTTAGATTTCGGGGGAGTAAACGGCAGCTGCTCTGCTGGGCAAAGGAGGGGGGGCCCTGCCCGGATTCTGGCAGCTGTTCAAGGCGGCACCAGATGCCTGGCTTCTGCAGCTGGCCCTTCCCAAGCATCTCCCTGGGGTGTGTGTGTGTGCATCGTCCCCTCACCTCGAATTAACGCACAGAAGGAAACCACGTCCACGCTGCCCAGAGTGGCTTCACCATAACAGATAAAAGAAGCAAGCGCCCCCCCCGGCAGAAAAGCCCATCCCCAGACCCGGAGGAAGGGGATTCATCCTTTTGCCACTTTGGCTAAATTCACAAGAAGCAGGTTTTGTCACCCTCACCCCCCAAAAAGGACAAGCGTCCTGCTGGAGGAGGGCTCTGCGGAACTCATGGCCACTGTACGCCTGAGCCTGCAAAAAAGGAGCCGCTCTCGGGGAGGGTGCGTTCCCACCGGAAGGGAGGCTTCCTCTCCTGGGACAGACGTAGCAAAACAGCAGCTTCTGCAGTGGACGCTTGAAGGCAGGATTCAGGAGCAGTAGGAATCCCTGGGAGGAGAAGGGCTTTCACAGGGGGATGGGGCAATAAGGGGGCAGAGACAGGGGGGAACCCCACCAGGAGGCCGGCCGGTCTTTCGGCTGCAGGCACGACTCTTTCCAGGCCCGTCTCCGAAAGCAGAGCTTCAGACGGAGGGGGGGGCAAAGTCTGTGCGGGGTGTTTGCCTTTCCCTAATCACTGTTTGCCGTCCTTCCCTCTCAGTCCAGCCTTGAATCCCCCAAACTGCTTTTGAAAGGAGAGGGCTCCGTGCATTTAGCTGTCCTCATCGGGGCCGGAGGGCTGCCTCGCCTCCGAAGAACCACCAGCCACTGGAAGAAGGGCAGCAGCCTCAGCCTCTCCCCCCCCCGGACACGGCCCTCCTCAGCCTTCTCTCTCACACACATCCAGGCACACGTGCGCGCCCTGATACCTGTAGGCAGGGACCCCCGGGTTGGCGATCATGATGGACTCCAGGTGGAATCGCCCGTCTCCGAGGTAGCTGGAAGGGAAAGAAGAGGGAGGGCGGGA